ATTGCCCCATCTTCCTTCTGAGGAGTGGCTGGTGGGTTTGAACCACCAGCCTTCTGCTTAGCAGTCAGGTGCCTTAGGCACTACACTACCAGAGCTCCCCTGTGTTCCATAGGGTTTTAAATAACTGATTTTTCAAAACTTCATTGTCAGGACTTTTATGTGAGATAGCTCTGCATGAACTCGAACTTCAACCAAGTGCGTTAACCATTCCATGTGCTTATATAACTCAAAAACCCAAACCCACTGCCGTGAAGTCAATTCTGACTCATAGGAACCCTATAGCACAGAGTAGAACTGCCCCATAGAGTTTCCAGTGCTGTAAATCTTTATGGAAGCAGACTGCCTCATCTTTCTCCCATGGAGCAGCTGATGGGTTCTAACTCTGACTTTTTGGTTAGTAGCCAAATGCTTTAACCACTGCACCACCAGCTCCTTTATGCTTATATAGCAGTAGACAATTTATGGGAGAGTAGGTAAGAAACAGTTAAGAGAGCTTCTGGGAAGGGGATCCAGAAGACTGAAGCACTGGGTGACTTTTTTTTTTTTTTTGAGGTTTTTTTTCTGTGCACATATTGTGCTTTTAGTTAAAACATTTAAAGATGCTTTGATGTACATAACATTTTCATTGGCCAATTCTTTGATAAGTGGATGACCTCTTCCTCTTCCAAGAAGAGGACATGGAACAAATGATATCATTGCTGATGTTAGATGGATCTTGGTTGAAAGCAAAGAATACCAGAAAGATGTTCACTTGTGTTTTATTGAGTATGCAAAAGCATTCGATTGCATGGATCCTAAACAAATTGTAGATAATGTTGAGAAGAATGAGAAGTCCAGAACACTGAATTGTACTCATGAGGAACCTGTACATAGGCCAGGAGGCTATCATTGAAACAGAATTAGGGGATACTGCATGCTTTAAAAATCAAGAAGGGAGTGTGTCAAGGTTGTATCCTTTCACCATACTTATTCAATTTGTATGCTGAGCAGATGTTTTGGTTACCTAGTACCGCTCTGGTAGCATAATGCCTAAGGCACTTGACTGCTTACCAGAAGGCTGGCAGTTCAAACCCACCAGCCACTCCTCAGATGGAAGGTTGGGCAATCTACTTCTGTAGTGATACTGCCTTGGAAACCTAAGGAGGGGTCGCTGTGAGTTGGGTCCGACTCAAGAGCACATAACAATAACAACAACAACAATAGAACTGCTCTGACAAGAATATACCACAAATGGAATGCTTGAACAAATGAGTTTATTTTCTTACAGTTTGGAGGTTTTAAGTCCAATTTCAAAGTGCCAGGCTCTAAGGGCTGGGTGAAAGTCCCTCAACCGTGGGTTTCAGCTCTGTCTCCTGTTCCGGGCCCACTGGAGCTAGAGGCTTTTCTTCACTCAGAAAGCTGCTGGCTGCT